TACATTTTTCCTTCTTATAAAAATAACATTTTTTTTTTTTTTTTTTTTTTTTGGGGGGGGGGGGGGGGGGGATCATGATATCACCCCCATAGGAGCAAACCCAAAAAAAGAAAAACTAAAAATATTATTATGTACCCTATTATTACCACCTCCAATCAGTTAAATATTAAATTAGAAGTCAATTTCAAGACCACCAAATCACAATAGAAAATTAGAAGAACGTAAAAGTTGATCATGGAATCCAGTAGCATACATCATCATGCTCATCATCATCTTCGGATATATCATCATCTTCAATCACCAATTCTTCATTGAGTTCAATGGGAGAAATGTCCAAGTCATCATCCTGCGTTGCAGATAAAGAATTGTCATGTTCAAAAGTATATAATTTTGATGAACATTCCAAAGAGAACAGGAAAAATTATGGCCAGAAGACACTAGCTTGATTAATTTTTTATTTTTTATTTTTTAGATGGGAGGTTATGACGTGAAAAGATCTAAATGAGCAGGGAATTTATACATGTGCAACAGTATTTAGAGGTAAATCAGACACAGGGAATGAGAGCAGAAAAGTAATATCAACTTGCAAGAAGCTTGCTAAATGGAGGAAAATTTTCCAAGAAGTAATTAAGCCTAGTGCACATAAAATATAATGTGAAATATTACGAAAAAACAAGGAAAAAGAGTAAAATGTGGAAATAAAAAACTTCCCTGCCCCTAAAATAAAGTCCAAAAGGCAATTCCGTACTCAATTTAGGTCTAGAGAACTGTACAATTGTTTTTTTAACTAAAGAATGACTCGTTCCAATATCAATTGCCATGAAAGGTGAATTTCTTGAAAAATCTTCATGCACTGATTTTCTAGTTACTTCCTTTTCTAGATTCAGGGGGCATTATGGGGGAACCTTAATTACAGGAATGACTCTCATTCCAACTTCTGATAACTAACAGAGATGAATTCCTGAAAAAAAAGTTTAAAAAAAAAAAATTGAACATCATTCACATTTTTCCTACTCCGTCGTATTTCAATTTTCAGTTGAGAAGAATGTTGAAGAAGGAACCTTATGGATACCTAGAAGAGCAAAAAATAGTCACATTTCCATAGTAAGTAATAACTAAGACATGGTAAAACAAGTATCCTAATTTTTGGAAAGCTTATTTAGATTCCAAAGACCTGAAGTACAAACATATGCACTCATGTCATCCATGGCGTCTATCTACATCAGTGGTCATAAAAAGGCAAAATGCTGTCAGCTGCTTCATCAAGAAGCAAAGATATGTCATCATCAAATGGACCAAAGCTAATAAAAAATTTAGCGAATTCCAGACCATATATGGAATTATATGTTTTAGCACATCATTTTCTTCAATAAAATGCTCAGTACATACCGAACTAGAGTCTGCATCTACAGGCTTCATCTGCGCATCTTTATCCAGAGCTGCTCTTCTGCGAGCAGCATTTCTTGTCTGCGGTCCTCTTCCCTCTTCTTGGGTTGGCTTCAAAATAGCTTTTCCCTTTGACTTTGACGAGCTTGTATCTTTTTCGTGGGATGACTCTTTCTTGGCAGTACTACCTAAAAGAACTGATGATCTAGATCGCATTGAATTACGTCGAGCAGCTGGAGTGAAAGTAGATGGTGACGATGCACCAGCTGCTGGAGGAGTGGTCCCAGACTCGGGATTCCCAGCAGAAGAAAGCTTTTGACCAGACTCGTATCGTTGAACTCGGGGCCAAAGGAAGTCTTCAACGGCAGCTAAACTTGCTAATGGATCAATCAGCACAACATTTGACGAGTAGTCACGGAGAGATTTTTCTCCTTGTAATCTGCAGAGGCGCAGCTTGAATGGTTGGGAGAGTGCACTTAGACCAGAAGAAAGATGCGCATTCCCAGCAGATGACCGAGATGTATGGCTCAGCACGACAGGGAAACGCTCTAACGAGGATAGAGCATCTTGAAGTTTTTGAACCAAAACACTCATGGGAGCTCCATTCTTTTCATCAATGCCTGAAGGAAGAGCAACAGTAACAAAAGATTTGCACCTTCTGATGGCATGTTCTCGAAGCTTAGGCAAATTAACTTCAGAAGAACTGTCTTTGGAGAAATATCCACAAGTTATATAGTTAAGCAAAGAGGCAATGGCTCCACTACCAATAAACTCAAAAGTCGACACACCATCCCCTCTGCTAAGCTCTTGCAGCATCTCAGTTATCACCTCAACCAAGTATTCCTCCTTAAGAGTAGAAAAATCAGAAAGCTGAGAATCAGAAGCTTTTGATTTCCCCTTTAATTTAGTCTTTTTATCATCAATACTGGCATTCAACTTCGCGCAAAGATTCTTGAGGCGTAGGAGATCATCTGTAACACCAGTTTCACAGCCCTCCAGATCAGATGGAAAGTATTTATCTTTGAAAGCTTTAGCACGTGCACTGACTGTCGCTCGAAGACTAGAATTGACAGTTGGAATTTCAATTGAATTTGGAGGTGAACCAATACTCGGAGCTGAACTTCTAGTGTCTTCAGCAGGATTTACATCTGAACTCGAATTGCCACCACGTCGTCGATACCGCCTAGAACGTGATGATCCAGAAATAGAATCATTATCCTTTTCACTCGACGATGGCTGCAAAGCAGTACTTGTACACCCACCTATTATTAAAGAATCCACAGCATGAACAACACCTTCCCTTACAAACATCTTTGAAAAAATACCAGGAAGCTTTTCCATTAAGATTTCTGCTATTTGGAGAGCAGGTACAAGCACTTGAGGATCTTTCCAAGCTAGCACCCCAGCTAAAAAACTAAATAAAACAAGCGAAAGCTAAGGATCTCTCTCTTGCTAACCACTAAAGAAAAATATGCTGCAAATACAAGTCTGGAGGAAACATATACCTGGATATGTTTGTGGAAATTATCAGAGATTGAATCATTTCAGCAGTGCTGAAATACATAAGTTTTCCGATAACTGAAAGGCACTTGTGCCGAACAGGACCATTTACACTGGACCCATATATCTGCATGGGAAAAATATGGCAAATTGTTTATAGAATAAAGGGCAGTAAAACATGGGTAAATTAATTCCTTCTAAAAACCAACCTGGATTAGAACAGGGAGGAGATCCATTCCAAACTGCTGCAGCAGCTCAGGATGATCATTCAACAATTTCTCACGAGCTGAAACCTCTAGCACGTTCCCATTCAAATCTTCCTGTTTGGTGGAATTGCCTGCAGGACCCTTCTTAGAAAAAGAACCTTTAACAAACAGATTGCTGCTGGCTGGAAGAGATATTGTTCCTTGAGGCAGTGGGGGAAGAAGCTCATTAGCCAGATTGACAATCTCGAAAATCTGATGATATGGAGAATCACATTAGCTTCATATAGAGACCAAGAAAGGGCTCAAACTGGCCGAAAAGACATTACTTTATTTAAGTATTCTTCAATGGGTAGAAGATTATTTTCATGAAGATCACCCTACTATGCATTGAACTGATTTTATGAGAAGATCTACGCTAGAAAAAAAAGGCGAATGGAAATTAACCCAAAGTCAAAGTTCAGTCTCTTAGAAGGATTTAAGGACAAATGAATCTGGGAAAAGTGTTAGGCCATTGTGAAAAGTGAGCAAAGATATAGCACATACCTGCTCTGGTGGTCTACTCAAGGCAGGTGAAACAGACATGCTGGATACAAGGCCAGACCCCAATAGGATATCTTTAAGAATACCACTGATCCCAAGTAGTAGTAGAGACTTTGCCCCTAAAGGAGAACCACTCGCACAAGTGCATAGAAGCCGAATTAAGCCCTGTATGCTTCATTGGTCATAAAGCAGCCTCTTACCATAAAAGGCAGTAAATGAGAACCGATCTTTGAACTCACCGTGTATGTAGAAGTGCTGAGTGAAGCTTGACCGCCTCCAGAATTGCTAGTGGAAATTATGGCCGCGGCTTGGGTAACAAGTCCATTATTGCAGAGTTCGTCAAGCTTCTCTGGCGATGACCCAAATGCCTCAGCAATCCGGGTCAAGCAAATACATGCATGTTCTAAAACCTATAAATATAACCAACACAAGCTGGTAAGGCAGAGAGGAAAACAGAGAAAAAAGGAGCCATTAATGGATCTTAATAGTTTCCTTATCATTTTAAAGCTGTAGAAAAATTATCTGACCTTTGCATCATGATACTGAAGAAGATTAGTCAACAACGGAACAGCTTCCATCACAAAGTCAGATGCATCTGAAGGTAATTTTTTGCAAATATTTGCAGCAGTCGATAATGCCACTCTCTAACAGAATATTAAGAGAGTCATATTCATTTTACGTATTTGTGACAGTTTAATGGTGGAAAATACAGTGAAACTGAGAATATTACCAATATCAACATAACTATTGGAATTTTTCCTAACAACTCACCTGAACTCCAGTAGAGAAGAAGTCAAGATATGAAAGAACAGCCATAAGTGCTCCTGCCCGCAAGCAAGCAGTTGGGTGCTCCAGAGAAATTTTTTTCAGGGCTTGCAATGACTGTTCCATCACAATCTAGTGTCAATGTTAAGATTCAACTCTCAAATCACCAAAAAATATTTCATTAGCTTAGTGTGAGCACTTGGTTAACAATGAAAATGGTAACCACAACCATACACGGCAGATAATTTTATCCTGATAATTGTCAACTACATCCAAAACTAACCAGTTCTCATAATTCAACCAAGTACCAACAATGATTAAATTTTTCACCTGTTCAGCCAAGTCCATGTACTCAATAGTAAGCAGTCGAGCAACAAAGCACGTGACTGCACCATAATGCACCACGGCAGCACTCGAAGAGGGTAGCACGTCAACCAAATGAGTCAGTGCCCTAGCTGCGAGAAGCATTATATCTGGGTTACTTTCATGATTAATCAACCCAACAAGCACCGGAGCAAAAGAATCCACCGGAAAAGAACTCAGTGAGTCCTCAGTCCCTATGGAAAGCATCTCACATAGCTGCGTTAAAGCTTCCACTTGCTTCCCTTCCTCACCATCTGCCCTCAAACCTGTCAAAATCTTCTTCAGCCTTCCACTCTGATGGGAGGACGAGGCAGACCCCATTGCAGAGCTAGGAAGCAGATCATCTAGCCCGGCGCCCAGTTTTCTCAAAAGCCCCTGAAGGGCACTGCTTGCTGAAGTCAAATTCTGGTGCAAAATCCCGACTCCTCCCTCGCTGTCGTTATCATCATCGTCACCGTCATGGGAATCAATGTTCAGCCCTGAGCTCCTTTCAGTTTCTCTATCTCTATCTCTATCTCTATCCCTAACCCTGCTTTCATGCTCTTTTTCCTTGCCTTTATTCAAATTAGTGTTATCTTTGTTATCAGAATTTTGATTACCAGGGTTTTTGCCACGACGACCACGGGTTGTCGAAGCAGAGACAGCAGAGGCTTCGGGGGCTGGGTCCATTAGAGCGGATGAAACTACCGAATCTTTCGATCGAGTCAAAGCACGAGAACGAATGGATATCAATGAGGTCGTGGAGGAAGAGGCAGTGGCGACGTTAGAGGCAGAAAGACGAGCACGCTTGGAGGCACGGGTGGTTGGACCAGAGGAAGAAGAAGGCGCTGCTGAGGTGTTTGCCTCCGCCCGCTTCCGACTCCGTGTTTCCATACAAAAACTTTCAGGACAGATTAATCCAATCGCCGACTAATCGGCGATGAGAACATCTCTTGATCCCCGAATTCTTACCATATCACTCTAAAACAAAAATTAACAAAAACCCCCAATTCCCAAGGGCAAAAAAAGGGAATCTTTATGGATTCAGCTGGAAGAAAACACAATCACAAAATCTTTACAGATGATAAAATCGTAAATTTTAATCCAGTCGTATGAAACCTTAACTGAATCGAGAGTAATTCCTTCTAGAGAAAAATTAAATATCTATATAAAATACGAACAGAAAACCTAATTCTGTGGAAATATAAAAATTCAAAGGAAATGTTGTGGTATGCGGTAACAGATTCTTTTTCCTTTTATATTTCCAACATTTTCTTTTCAATTTTTTTCTGAGATCTCTTTGCGTTTTTCTTCTTTTCTTTTCGTAGGGTTATCTCTCCGTGCATATATATATATATGGAGAAAATGAAAAGATGAGAGATTGGGAAAATGAATATGGCGGCGTTGAAAACTTGAAGAATACGTGCCTTTTTAGCTGGTGCCAATTACAAGAGATAAGGTGTTTGGTTAACCTTCAAAAGATTACTTTTAAGTTAATTGAGGTATTGTGGGTATGATATTAAATGGGGAGAATAGTATTTTTTTGAAAAATGAATGATTAGAGAAGAAGGAAAAGTTTTTGATTTACGTGTAATATTATTTTATAGAAGATTGTGTGGTTGAAAATAGGAGAGAAAGAAATGAAATGTAATGTAATTGAATTTAATGGGGGCCAAACGGAGCTAACATGAAAAGAAAAGAAATTTTAGACAATTCAATTGTTTAGAAATTATTTTTATGAAAATTATCAATTAAAGATATTTGATTGATTTTATGTCAACTTAAAAAATATGAGTAGCTCTATTTACATCCACGTTTTTTATAAGTATATCAATTTTTAAAAATAAAATTTTACTATATTTTAAGTCATATATAAATTTACTTAAATAGATATAAGTAATAATGAAATCTACAACTCATTTGTTGAATCAATTACTTCAATTCTACCCAAATCATTAAAATTATATTCTGCTGGACGGCAAATTATAATTGGCAGCCGGCTACTATTCAGTTCTGAGTTTTGCCAACAAACCCTAGCAGTTCTTCTTCATTTTCTCATTATTCTTTTCCATTTTTTTCAAAATCAAATGATGGCTAGTAGCTGATGATTTCAGGTTGTGTTTGGACGTGGCTGTTGGATGGTGGGTTTTGGTTTTTGTTGGGTGTGTGATGGGTGTTTGAGGAGGAAGAACATGTCTTGGTTTGGTCCAGCGACACGGCGGGTAGCACCTTGTTGTCGGAGAAGAACAGAGGAGGGGGACCAGGTGGGGGGAACATTGGGATTTGGAAAATTGGAATTTGTCTTTTGACTTTTGTTTTTTGTTTTATGTTTTTTTTTTTTTAAGTTTTAATATTATTCTAAACTTACTCATATAGAAATTTGACATCCACCTACGGATGATCCAGCAAAGTTATCATTTGTATGATTGCTTTATTGATAAAATTGCATTCTTTGGGCCAAAAAAAGAAACAAAATAAAAAAAATAAAAAGAAAAAACTAGTCTCGAATATAATGATGAGTTTGTCAATCATAAATGCCAGAAACGATTATTGTTTGTAATTTATAATTATTTTATCTCATTTTAAATATCCGTTGTTTTGTTCTTATTTCATTCATTTGTTTTGAAAGAGTTTATGGTTTTAGAAATTGTGTGAATCTATAGTGTTAGGAATGTATTTAAAGTAGAATGAATATATAAAGTTCACGTAGATATATAATATTTAAATGAATGGATTTCATAAGGACAAAATTGGAAATGACGTGGATGTTAATAGTGTTACGCTCCGATCTGATACTCCTCGGAACGCGCACCACCATATATTCCGACCTGATAAAGACCCGTCCGAAATGCTTTCGAAATGATATCAGCAATGTCTACAACCTAATAGTGCGCTGCGAAGTACAAGCGATCCCTACTACTGACCTGACCGAAGCACCTCGCCCTCGAGGCCGAGGCCAAGTGGACCCCGGTTAGAAGATCCGCTGCCAATTTCAGAAAGAGATTTGTGCGAAGATCCTTCCTGCACCTAAGGTTTAAATTGATTTGACGTCTCCATGAGACTAGTTGATGTGATTTATCAACTTTAGGTCAATTCAACCCAGAAGAAATAAGTTGTCCGCCCACTCTACAGACGCGACTGATTGACGCCTATGAGCGGACACCTGATACCGTCAGATGTATACACGCGTCCCACATCCAACGGCTCATACCACCTATAAATACCCAAGGTTTGACAAGAGGCAAAGGTAATAAAACTCTTACTACATAGCACTCCATAGCAAGCTTATATATTTTCTCCTCCCCCTTATCATTGATTTGCACAATCTCCATGTACTGTTCCGACCACTTAAACCTGACTTGACCGTCGGAGTATATACGGCCGCCACCACCCTCGCTGGTCTCGACCGTTTGCGTCTGACCATTCGCTGATTGTGCGCAGGGAGGAATACGTGGAGTAGCTCTCGGTTGGCCACTTGGAAGGACCAATTTTCGAGGTCAACAGATTGGCGCCATCTGTGGAAAACACTTCCCATTCGAAGTTTTGCATTCTCCATCGGAGAAGTTACCAGAAAACTAGCGACTAACCCTGAAAAGGGGACATTCTTGAAAAATAACAAAGTCGAGTTACAATCCAAGTTCTCACCACCCTTGAAAAAAGAGATAGAATGAGCTATAGCCATGAAGACGACAACCCCATGAGAGAGGCCTCTGAAGAAGGAAGAAGAGGTACTCCATAACAATGTTACTCATCAGAGACCACTTAACCGGCGTCGCCGAGGTGGAAGAACAGCCATACTCACTGAAGGAATGGCTCAGATAGCTGGAGGTATGAGAGACATCGCAGCTCAGAATATGGCAATGCATGAACTCCTCATGCAAGCCCAGGGTCATCAGGGCTATCAAATGTCCTAAGGATCTTATCTGGTGCGGGAAGCCCCTGTATCTCACTCCCGAGGCCACATGAGCCGGCACACAGAACGTCCCCTCGAAAGGAAGATAAACGCGAAGCCACGTCTTATGTGCAAGGGAGCCAGCCATCAGAACCACGCTTGGGGGACAATTTCCTCACGAACATAAGGACCAGAGGTCGGTAAGCGTCTTCAACCGGATAGGGGAGGGTCCTAGCAATAGGGTCCGCCCAGTAAAAGGATCAGTTCGTCCAGATCACGAATAAGAACATGCCCCCCTCATCCTAAAAATAGGAGAGACAGGAGGAACCTAGTCGATTGGAGAAGTCGAGGAGAAGCACCTCCACCTCCCCAGAACATCCAAGATGATGAAGGGTCGGATGGACCCTGTCGATCTTATGAGATTGACGATGATGATGATAACCTCCCTTTCTAAAGGGAGATCCAAAACTTCTCAATGCCAGCAAATTTCATGCCCCCTAAGGTCCTCACGTATGAAGGAAAGGGGGACCCAGAGAAGCACCTCACCAAGTACATGACACAGATGAGCCTAAGGGGAGCCTCGCCTGCTTTAAAATGCAGAGCCTTCCATTTAATGCTAGGCGGGGCCGCCGAGGTATGGTACAACAGGCTTCCTCCCCTAAGCATCAGAAGTTGGCCAGATTTGAAGAAAACATTTTTGAACCAGTACCTCTCACGCAGGGAAGGAGAGGCACTAGTGCAACGCCTGCAAGATATGAGGCAGGCCCCTGGGGAGACGCTGAAAAGCTATCTCTCCAGGTTTACAGACGAAATCACCTACTGCGAACATGTCACTGACAGAGAAGCCCTTTTAGCCCTGAAAGGTGGGCTCAACATGAACACTTTGTTCTGGAGGGACGTGCGAGGCAAGAATCCCTCCACATATGACGAGCTAGTGGAAATGATGAGAGTGGAAATTGTTAGTGAAAAAATGATTGATCATCGCAACCGTGCCGCTCAGGGACTCCCTCCTCCTCAGAGGCAGGTAGGTCGAGGACCAGCAGGACACCTTGTTACTCAGCAATGGACCCAAGCAGATCATACAATAGCTCCCACATCTGGACAGGCCCTAGCTTCCGCCACATTAAATGCGGTACCGGTGTTGGCATATGATAATGCCCCTGTCAAAGTGGGACCATCTGAAAGAGCTGATAACAAGAAGAAGAAGAAGAGGTCAAACAGACCCTTGGAAGGGGCAAGGTTTTGTACGTTCCATCAACTCTATGGACATGACACCAGTGAGTGTCGAGACGCCAATCGACGCCCTGATCGAAGCAATCCGCACCCTTCCAGCAGGAACGAATACCCTCATAGATCCGCCTCCCCGAGGAGGGGGGAGAGGTCACGGGGAACAATCGCCTCAGAGAAGAGAATCAAGAGACCGAGGTCAATCAAGACAGGGAAACAAGCCCAATTTTCTGGAAGCTAGGCCATCAGGGAAATCGATACTATCATTGGGGGACCCCACGTCGGTGGCAACACCAGGAATACCTAGAGAAATTACACTAGGGAAGCAAAGGACCCCCCAATGATCACTTACATTGTCAACGAATCGCAAGCAGCAGATAGGATGGCCCCAATCACCTTCTCCCAGGAAGACTCAAAGGGGGTTCACCACCCCCATTGTGATGCATTGGCTGTAAGAGCCGTAGTAGCTAGAAACGGATTAAAACGCATGCTCGTTGACAATAGCAGTTCCGTGAACATATTGTTCGGCTCCACTTTTGACAAAATGCAAATTGAACATGGGTTGATCCCCATGACCGACCCACTATTCGGATTCACTGGGGACATCATCATCCCACGAGGGCGGATTACCCTGCCTGTTGAAATGGGTTCGGCACCCCTAGTGGTCCAGCACTTCATGAAATTTTTGGTGGTAGATCACAGATCGGCGTATTATGGAGTATTAGGCAGACCCGCTCTGAAAGATCTTTGGGCTGTCATGTCCATCCACTACTTGTGCATGAAATTTCCAACCGAACATGGGATTGCTACGGTCCGAGGCGATCAGATGGGCTCCAGGGCATGCTACTTAAACTCGCTGCGATAGTCCAAGCCCCGAACTGTTAATGTAATCCTAACTGAGGTACCCGCTGAAATCAGTACGAACGTGGAAATGCTCGACGCCCCTGAACAAGGGCATACCTCTGAACAAGAGGGAGACGTCGACAAATCGGTTGCCATCCCTTAACCATCAGCCCCTCCTATGCCCCCCATAGACAGAAGAGGCGTGCCCTCAATCAAGAAAGGTACGAGGCACTGAAAGACGAAGTAAACAAACTTAGCCGCAGTGATTTCATAAGAGAGGCCATCTATCCAAGGTGGATATCCAACCCGGTCCTGGTGAAAAAGCCCAGCAAAAAGTGGAGGGTATGTGTGGACTTCACG